CCTCAAGATGAGGAAGCAGGAGTACTCGGGCTAAGCCAGCCAGCCGGACATCATCATCATCTTCTTCAACAACAACTACTCCTCGCGAGATCAACTACACCGACGATAATATTCGACAACATCGACCTCCTACAACTGTACCTCTTTCACGCACTGTTCATAACAGCACCCCCCTTCTACTTCTCTCTTTCTGTTCTCCTGGTTTATTTATTTCAACACCACAAGAAAACCAACATTCAACCCCCCTTCTACTCCTTGCTGCCCATTATGCACAACCCACATGTTGTTGCTCTTGGTGATGTTTGCAGCACACAGGCAAAGAGAGTGCTTGTTGGTGACAACTGCAGTTCTGGTGGAGGAAGAAGAGGTTGTGTGAAGAGCTCTCTCTCTCTCTTACATGAGTATGCAGCAGCCCTTGCCAGATGCCCGTTCCCCGCCCTCCTCGGCGTTGTCCTTCTTCCCCTTCTTGCCCTTGCCGCCCTCCTCATGATCGCGAAATTGGTAAATCTCGGAACGGTGCAAGTTAAAAATCGGAATGGAAATGAATGTTCGGAATGTTATTACGATACAATTTCCGTAGACAGGTTTTCTGTAGACATATTTCTGTAGACGTCGGGGTTTATAAGGCTGGTCTGCAGACCACAGAACATACTTGTTTAGCGGCTGGCGCCAAGGCCATGAAGCGCAGCAAGCCAGACGAGGGCGCGTGCGGCGAGGAGGAGCAAGTGCGCAAGGCGCAGGCGGATCCAAAAAGGTACCTTTCCTCTCTCTCATCTTTCCCCCCTACTATCGGGAATAGCCAAATGCGTTTGGCGTTCAGCGATGTAGCCCTGCAAGCATTTCGATGCTGCACTTTTAACTTATTTGTGATTTGGGCGTGCGTCATCTCGATGAACAGCATGCCCAAATTTTTGAACTCATTTCGATGAGTCTTTACCCTCTCCAGCACATCACGATGTGCGCGTTGTGATTTGGCTAACGCAGTGCAGACGGTGTTATTTGGCGCCATCACAGATGGACAGGTTCGTTGCGGGCAGCGTTGTCAGCGACGAGACAGGAGCATCGCTCAAGCTCGCGACGATATACAACGTGTTCTACAATCGAACGGACCATGTCCATCGACTCCCCCTCAATCAATGGGGAATCCTGTTCGCTTCTTCACTCGATCGCGTCCATCCTGGCTGGCGGCAGCGCCAGGCGAGGAAGGGCCTGTATCCATTTGCACTCAAGGGCCTCTATGGTACGTGGAGCCCTCCACGATGGTTTGATGTGTATTACGCTGATGCATTCGTTTTTTTCCCCCCCATGATTTCAGGGCCGGAGATCACCGGCAAGGAGATGGGGATGCGGCCATATCAACATGCGACAGAGGACATCAAGAAGACCGAGGCGGATCTCATCGGCTTCTGCGTACAACTTACGCACACCATCAACGGGTCCATTAAAGCTCTTTCAAGTGTTCCAGATGAAGTCGATTGGGCGAAGAGGAAGGCGCGCCTCCTGCTGACGACCTCGGATTTTGTCTCCCCGCCTGTCGAGGAGGTCAGGAGCTACATTCGCACGCAATTTATGAACGACTTTGCAAGTAAAGAGATCCCCACCGATTTCGATGTGCCCCCCAAGTACCCGGTAACAGCATTTATTACGTAATGGAATACATTTGCCATTACTCACTAACTTTCTTGTTCTTGCGCTTAGCCAATCGACGTGCAGGTAGCGGGCGAGGCGGTTCATCCTCCGGGAAGTGGCGCTTAGGTATGCGAGGTCGCTTCGATCCTGCCGGGGCCGGTACAAATTTCTTGGATCTGCTGGGGGAAGCGATGACCCTAATCTCGTTGTCGTTGATGTCGTCATCGCTGGTTGCAGGATCCTCCGCCCCCATGTAAATCGACATCTCCTGACCCTGCTCGATGTTGAAGGTACTGCTCTCCTCGTCGTCGTTGTCGTCCTTCTCGCGCTCGTCCTCGTCGTCCTTCTCGCTCTCATCGTTCGCAATCTCGTGCACGATGTCATCGCTCAGGAGCTGGTTCTTGCGGCGACGGCGTGGGCGCGGCTCCAGCGTAGGCGGCCTGCCAGGGGGACCGGTGATGCCCAGGGCCTCGCATCGTCCTTCGTCGTTGTCGCTGAAGACCGTTGGATCGCAGAAGATGGTGGGGCTGATGCAGCGCAGCCACGTCGGGTACGAATCGTCCGCCAATCCCTGCAGCAGTGCAATCGCCACAATGTGCTTGCACTGCTTACCGGTGTAGATGTAGTAGGGGCACGAGCAGGTACCAAGATCGGTGTTGACGTGGTAGCTTCCGATGGCGAAGAGCTGCGGCACGACTTCGACGATCGACTCGAGATGCTTGTGCAGCGTTGCCTCGCCGTTCGCTTTGGTATGCTGCATTCGCTTCTTCGACGTCGTAATCGTCCGCCGTGCTCCGGCCTTGAACTGATCGAATTTCATCTTGAAATGGACGAACAGGCCGAGGACGATGGTGAGCACGAGCGAGTCGGGCGAGGCAGCCTTCTTGCGGTTGAGGTACGTGTACGACAGCATCTTGAAGATCGATTCGGTGGCGTTGTTTGTATTCTCAAGCCCGACATCGCGTCTCAGGACTCGAAGAAGATCGCTCCAGCCGCTGCGCCAGTCGTCGCCAAGCCAATTCGCGGTGAAGTAGGCGAAGAACCCAGGGCCACCTGTCCTCTTCAGCTTCGCCAGCGCATCATCCCAGTCCTTCGACGTACGTGCACGCTGTAGGCGCTTGAGTGAGGCCATCACCTTTCCACGTTTTTCTGTTTTAAGATGCTCATGCAATTAGCTTAATGTGAACAAATCTCAAGACTAATGTGCTATAATTTGTACCTGGCTTGCAGAACCGGGTTGTAGCGCGTCGCCAGGCCTGCTGCACGTGGAAGTCGCAGAGCACGAATTCGAGGCCGAGAGCTACGATGGCCGCCCGCTCACGAGCATCCTTGTCGATCATGACGATTGGGCGCCAGTCGCCATCGCCCAGGTTCGTGAGAACGATCTCGATAAATTTACTGACCATCTCTGACGTGTCTCTCGACATCAGGGCCATTGCGATTGGCCACGTGTGGCCGTCGGTGTCGCTGGCGACTAGCGCGTAGAGCGGGAGGCCGTATCGTGTAGCCTTGTAGAGGCCATCCAGGCCGACGACGCGTTGGCCCCATTCGCGAACAATCTTGCGCGCATTTGGGGCCGCGAGGACGATGAGGAAGGGGCGGCGATCGTTCCAGGCCTCCTCGATGGTCTCCTCGCCTTCGGTGGGGAACAGGACGGTGGGCGCGATGTCGGGCCGCTCGATCGTTGCTTGCAGTATGGACACAAGGTCCGGCCCCCTCTCACGTTGTAGGCGCCGCGCGTAAGCCAGCATGTTCGTGACTTGCGCCTGCGTTGGCGCGACAGCAGTGCTGACTGTCCCAGTTGCATTGGCGCGCTTGTGCAGGCGCAGCACCTCCTTCGCGGCCGTTGTTGAGCGTCCCGTGCCGCCATCGGTGAGTCCATCTCGATCGAGGATTTCCGCCCGAATGTGGCGCGCCATCCGCATCTGCCCGAGGACCGGGCGGAAGAGCTCGCCGTGGCTGCCCTTATGCCAGAGGTACACGTATTGGAGATCGCGTAGGTCTGCTGCCCACCGCAGTGCCTTTCTGCAGGCCGCCTCCTTACTGCTTGTTGCCTCCGCAGGCTTCTCGCAGTTCGCACGGCCGTTGCAGTTGGCCATCTCGCTCAGCACGAAGTTTGGATTCTCGCCGATTTCGTCGACTGCCTCCCACTCCATAGTGCCGACGATGCGCGGGTTCGACCTCTCCCCTCCTCTTGCGTGGGCGCTTAGTTTCACCATCGACTTGTTGACCCTCATCGACTGCGTCCGCCACGCCGCCTTGCAGAAGTCCGGTGCGTCAGGGTGTTCGCCACACCACCACGCCGCCAGCGCCGTCGCTGGGATGCGACACAAGAACCTCCACTCCTCCCCCCACCATTGCTGGATCTCCTCGGGCACCTCCATCTTATTTTTTTCTGTACGGAAACCGATGGGTGAGGCGTTGAAATACAAAAAGGAAGGCTCGTCCTTTTTTTAACCCTTTTCCAGGATGTTACTGCTGACCCCCCTCCCTTTCCGCGTTTTTGGCGCCTTTTTTTATTCCGAACTTTAATGACCAGCCCGATTTTTAACTTGTCCCACTCCGAACTTTCAGCGTATCGCCTCATGATCTCCCTCGCCACCGTCAGCAGCGTCCGTCTTGTCGCCGCCCTCCTTGGCGTCGTCCGTGGTCGGCCTCCTGTCCTCCCCATCACTATGTAGAGCATCACATTGACGCGTAGTGAGCCTCTATATCTCTCCCAGTACATCAAGGGTTCAACCACCAACATGTCGCTACTTGCACGTAGCGAGACGTTGATGTTGTTTTTGGGAGTCTTGACCAAAGAGAAGGGGGGGGGAGGTGTACGCGTTGTTATTGTTGTTGTGGGTGGCCGTGGTCTCGCTGCTGGCCGTGATCTCTTGGGACACATCCGTGTTGGTCTTCCTCAGCTTCACCTTGGCAAACTCGGGCTGGGCCTCGCCGCTCGCCGGCGGGGGCTTGTTGGAGGCCGGTCCGGGAGTCTTCTTCAGCTCCAGCCGCCCGAACTCGGTCTCCTTCACGTCGGTGGGGGCCGGCTGCGCCTTCTCGGCTGGCCGCTCCACCTTTCTAAGGGCCACCGACCCAGGTGCGGGGATCATCATGCCGAAGCCCACGGCGCCCGGGGGCAGCTTGGGCCCCTTGGGTACCGGTGCGGGCTCCTCCTCCGCATCCTCCATCTCCTCGCCCTCCTCGCCCTGCGCCACTTCTTCGTCCTCCTGTTCGCTCTCCTCCCCTGAAGTTGACATCCTCTCCTCCTCGTCGCTCATCTTTGCTGTTCGGTTTCAACTCAGAGAGAAGATGGCGCTGGTGTGTTGTTTGCCTCCTGGCCTTACCATAAAAGCACCTCAGGTGCTGTTTATGGCATATCTGAATATCACAAATTTAAATTATATAAATGAAAAAGAGAATAAAAACTACAATAAAAAACAATTAAAAATGTGTAACCACGAAGTTATACGGAGTTGAAGAGCCAAGCGTGACGCCACACACCCCAATTCATCAGATTGCCATCTGCACACGACCACCACAGGCACGCAACATGTTGAAGGCGGCGCTGGAACAGGAAAACAGGAAGGCGACGGCAGCTTCGTCCACATCCTCCACCACATCTGCCTCCGCCTCGGCGCCGTCTGTGGACAATCGCGCAGCAGCGGCACCGCAGGCGAATGAAGGCGGCCACGGGGGTTCCATCCTGCAGCGAGATTTGACGAGGCGCGAGTCGTTCATTGCCAACAACGTGCACGTACTCAAGCCCACCTTCCAGATCAAAGGTCCGCCCTCGTAATCTCTTTCCTTAAGATCTTTTCTCCATCTTTAAAAACAAATAATCTCTCGCCATCATGCTTGCGTGTAGCGGACACATCAGAAGACACAGAATTCATGTCAAAATCTTGTGAAATGGATGCCCCCACACAGGTCTGCACACCATCATCAGGGACAAGAACACGAAGCGAGAGGATTTCATCTTCTACTCCGACCGCCTCATTCGACTCCTCATCGAAGAAGGCCTCAGGTTCCTACTCTCTCGCCTGCCTGGTGTCGTGCACACCCATGACCTAGTGGCTTCTACTCACATCTTCAACGCACGCGCGCGCGCGACTGTTGATGCAACCACTACAGCTACCTCCCCTTCCGCGAGAAGACCGTGACGACGCCCACCGGAGCTCAGTACAAGGGAGTGGAATGGGCGGGCTCCATCTGCGGCGTCTCCATCGTGCGAGCCGGCGAGAGCATGGAGGCCGGTACGCACCACCGCACAAGAACACCACACACCGCACGCACGCACGCACACACAGCACACACAGCACACACAGCACACACAGCACACACGCGGCAAGCAGAGTAAAAGTGGTGGGTTGTGTGCAGGTCTGCGAGCGGTGGCCAAGTCGGTGCGAATCGGAAAGATCCTCATCCAGCGCGACGAGAAGACGGCCCAGGCCAAGGTCTGTTGGTCCCCTGCTCCTACTCCTCCTCCTCTTCGTCGCCGATTGCCGTCATCTTCAGTGGGGCGCACGACTGACCCCACGGTGTGTGTTGTTGTGTCGTGCGCTGTGTGTGTGTGTGTGTTGGCACGCGCAGTTGTTCTATGTGAAGCTGCCCGAGGACATCGCCGAGCGATACGTGCTCCTGCTCGACCCCATGCTCGCCACCGGAGGCACGTAGCACTCGTGTGTCGTGTGTCGTGTGATCGGGAGGCTGACGTGCCCGGCCGGTGGTGCTCCATAGGAAGCGCGATCAAGGCGATTGAGGCGCTGCTCCAGCACGGCGTGAAGGAGGAGAAGATCCTCTTCCTCAACCTCATCGCCGCCCCCGAGGGCATCAAGTACGCCACCTTTCCGCCACGTCATGACTTGACCCCCAACTTTCCATGCCGGTCACTCACGACACGACACGACACGACCAACGACACGACGCACAGGGTGATCACGCAGGCGTTCCCGCGAGTCCACATCGTCACCACCGAGATCGACGAGAAGCTCAACGACGTCGTACGGCGCCTCTTCCTCCTTCCCGCTGTTTATTATCCCACTCCTTCTTGCTCACCGCTTTTTCTCTCACACACGCAACCCCAACAGAAGTTCATCGTGCCCGGCATTGGCGACTTTGGTACGCTGCCCCCGCACACACCGCACACACCGCACACATGGGGGACGCCACTGATCGTGTGGCCTTTTGTTTGTGTCGTGTTCTGTTCTGCGTACAGGCGATCGCTACTTTGGGACGGACAACTGAGGAGGTGGTGGTGGTGATGTGTCAACTGATCATCAAACCGAACAAGTATGAGTTGTCGACACGATTTTTTTTCGTTGGCTTTCTGTCCGCTCGTGCCACGCTTCTCGTCCATTCCGCCGTAGGTGCTTGTCGCAGACCTCCCTCGACTCTGTCTCGAGACCTCCACAGCACCCATCCAGGCCCCTCTACAGCTTCATCCACACCACACGCGCACACGCGCACCGCACGCAACACACAACACAACACAACACACACACACACACACATAGACGCAAAGATGTCTTACGGTGGAGGACGGAGACGTTCGACGGGCGACGCGAGCAGCACCTACCTGTTCGCCGATTCGGGTGGTCGCGGGGCCGAGGGCCTGTCGGGCCGCGAGACAGAGGGCGAGCCCACCGCGCACGAGCTGATCGCCTCCGACGACGACCCGCGGGCCTACCACCGCGCCCCCTACCGCCCCCCCTCGGTCCTCACCGGCGACTTTGGCTGGGGCCGCCAGAAGAAGAAGACCACCTCCTCGACCACTTCGACCACGACAAAGGCCGAGGCGGCGCAGCCGGCCAAGCCGGGGCCGTCGGACCAGAAGAAGTGAGGCACGCACTCTACAAGATGATGTTTGTTTTGATTTTTGGAAGATGAAGACACACCAACGATAGTAGTTGTACACACACAAGTGTTGTTAGAAAGTTGTCTGTTCACTTTTCTACGCCGAGGACGCGCTGGACGAAGGTGACGGTGAAGTAGATGGTCAGCGCCCCGAACATGTGGCTCATCCCCGCCTCCTGTAACATGAATTGTGCGTGTCGTGTCGTGTCGTGTCGTGTCGTGTGCTGCACGTTACCAAGCCTGGTGTGTGTCGTGTCGTTGGTCGTGTCGTGTCGTGCGGAATGGAGCGTACCCAGAGGGAGAGGTGTCGTAGACACGTGGGGATGAGCTCCTGCACGCACAGGAGGGCCATGATG